ATTTCCCTGTGACTAACTTAGCGCACTTCCGGTGGCAGCCATTGGGCTAAGGCTCTATAAAGAGCCACTCACATATTTATTTATAGTTCGGTGTGAGATCAGTTGAGACGTTACAAACAGGTTATGCATGTGAGCTTGGTTGGGAAAGATTGATTTTTTCTAATTTCTTTTTGTTAATATGTATTTAATTATTTTAAGGGTAGTTTTTTGTAATTTTGAAAAGTTATGGGACCACATTTTGTAATTTTTCTTATTTTTGTTGTCTTATTGCTTTATTTTATGTTTATTTAGGACCTGTTTGATTCTCATTCATTGAGAAAAAAATTAGTTTTGAACAATATTTCTAGGAGAATATGTGATTAAAAAGTAAGAAATTTTTTTGATATACTTGCAGAATATTATATTGTGTGAATGTGTAGTTGAAAATAATTTTGTAGCAAATCATAAAATAAATTTATGAATGTCAAACATGCACTTATTAGTGGAGTAGGGCAATTTTGTCTTTTAATAGCCAAAATGGAGGAACCGATGAGTTTTACTAGAAAGTTTGGGAATGATTTATGCTAAGAAGAAAAGATTGAAGAGAGATTTATTACATTTCGTATAAGTTGAGGATGAAGGGTGAGTTTTCATCAAAGAAAAGTAGTAATAAAAGAATTTTACTATTAGTCCTCAACTTATTAGCAGTCTCCAGTCAATCTTAGACCTTTAAGAAAGAGCAACTGAATCCTCAACCTTTTATTATTTTTGGATTCATAAACTCCGTTATTTTGAAGTTATATCTAGAATTTAGAATTTGCCTAGATTTGATATCGCTCTCTCATCTTGAGCAAAAGTAATTCATTACCCTAAATGTCTAGCTGGTGAACACCATTTTGATATTTAAAAAAAAAAAATTAACCAAATTGCAATCATAGCTCGACCAGATCTCAACATTTTATTAGGTCTTGGCATTAGCTTAAGTACATGTTTGGCAAAGTTTAGATCGTAATCTAAGTTGATCAAATACACATATTATATATGCATTTTATAGGATTCACAATTATTATTGAT